GGCCATCGTCGAGGTCAGCCCCGTTCTCCGTTCGCGAGCAGCCATCTTGGTTTTGTTCATCGAGCCCGACCATTTCAAGTTCCGATCGTCCGATTTTTCCAACCGAACCCGAAGAAAGGTATTCTTCGATCAGTACCTTCTCGTAAATGGTTGTTCGGATTGGATATCGTTCGATTATTTCGTGATTATTCGTTGATTATATCGTACTCGTGTACTTGTTGATTATTGGCTCATATAATTGTATGTTCGTCGGATTATGATTCATGTCGTGGAATTTTTGGGACTCTCTCTCGTACTTTTAATCGAGCCTTGTTGCTGTGTATATTATCGTGTTATTTGGAGTTCTCGTTTTGGGTACTCTCGAGTCGTCGTTGAATTTCTATTCGTTCATGAATTTTCATTCGATGTGTAGTCGTTCCGTTTTTTTCAATGTTCTGAAAACCGAACCGGTCATCGAACCGGTCAAGCTACTGGTTCAATGGTTTACTGGTCCGACCAGTGGTTGAACCGGTTGAACCGGTATTTAATTTATTAATATTTATAAATATTTTATAGTATTTTAAGTATTAAATTACATATACAAAACATTATAAATCATCAAAATAGAAACTTCTATATTACCTCAACCAAGAAATGCAATGTAAAATCTTCAAATATTATTCAATTCATTAATACAAATAATATATAATAAATATATAATATATATATTCAGTTAGATACATATATATTTATTTATTTAGAAGTTGGAAAGTTGTATTGGTATACAGAAAGTCACAAGTCAAACACACAAACTTAATTTTCACGCTACATCAGGCCCTGTGACACATACCACTATCAAAAAGCCTGTGCAAAAAAAAGAAACAGGAAAATCATTGAGAAAAAAAATCCAAAAGTTCCCCAGCTTCAATAGCAGTTGCACCAACACTCGACTCGTCGGAATCGCGGGCATTCCAAGGGAATTCAATTTCAAATTTTTCAGTGAGAGGAAAATTGAGGATTTGTAGAGAGAGACGAAACCAGAAACGGTGTCTGAACAGGACGGCGCCGAACTCGATTTCTCTATCGCGGGGAGAGGCTCTGAGATGCCAGTCGCCGGTCTCCGCCGACGAGCTCTTCTTCAACGGCCAAATCGAGCTTCTGCGACAATGAAATTTGCAGCGAGTTTCACGGGGATTCTTCATAAACGAGGCAATTTATGTGAACCGCTAGCCCGTTCCAACCGGTTCTGGTTTACCGGTTCAACCGGTTTTCCACCGGTTCAAGCGGTTTTATACCGGTTTTGGATGTCAACGGTTCCAGTCATCGACCCGGACCGGAATAGAGGCCGGTTCCCGGTTGAACCGGTCGAACCGGCCGGTCCGGTCCAGTTTTCAGAACATTGGTTTTTTTTTTCAAAGATTTCGACTTTTATCAAAATTCAATCTCAGGAGAAATTGTTATTTTCTTAATGCTCAAAACGCGCTCTGTTCTTGTTGAGGCGCTGCCAGAAAAATATATCTGTTCTTTTGTTCCCAGAAACTGCTGACCGGGAACGGACCTGCGTTCACTTCCGTGCGTGAGGTCCCGTATTCGAATCACTTCACCAGCAACCCTTTCTAATTTTTTCGCCCAGCTCAGAATAACCCCTAGGCGCGCGGGCCGCGTGGCCCGTTTCCAGCCCGCGCGCGGCCCGTTCCCGATCAGCAGTTTCAGCCCACGTTCCGGCCCGCGTTCTCCCTCAGTCCTGGCCCGCGATCAGCCAAGTTCAGGCACTTTTTGTGGCCCAATTTTTGGGTGCCAGGCCCAATATTTTCGCGGCCCAGTTTGTTTAGTGGCCAGAGCCTTTGGGCAAGCTTCCAGCGCGGCCCAGGTCGTCTTCTTGGCCCTTTTTGAGTTCCGGAAACCCGTTTTTATTATCGATTTCAATTTTAAAAATATTTTCAAAACGAGAAAAAATTGGAGAAATTATTTTAAATCCCGAGACACTATTTTTGGTCCCCGAGTCTTTTTTTTTTTCAAAATGTGAGAGTTCCAAGTCCACGGTAAAATCCGATAAAAATCCCTTAATCATTATTTTTGATTAAGTGTGAATTATATGTTAATGTCGAGTAGTGAGATAAATTATTGATTAAAATTCTCACTTAAATGTAGGTGTTTGAGGAGTCGAGCCCTCTACCTACCGATTTATTTGTGTGCTTTTTCTACCGATTTACCAGGTGGGTTTTATTTGAAAAGTTTCTATGCATTAATTAACTGTTATTGTTGTGGTATGATCAAAGTATGCATGTGAACCATGTAGCCCTCGAGGTGAGCTATATTGGCCGTCGAACGGTTATCCCCATAGCTATAGAACGTACCCGATGGGGTGTCTCCTTTATTTATGTATGACACTCAGGGCGTGAGCCTTGGCTGGTGATCCTCGATGTAAGTCCGAAGGGATGTTTCCGGGCATTCGGGGTGGATTTACTCTCACTGTCTGGGCATCAAATGTAAGGCCCGCGGGGCTTTCGATACGTGTATCAGCAGTGGTCTATTGGTATAGGTGTGCACATGAGAGTTGACTCTGGGAAGGAGATGGAATATTAATTGATTTGTGTTCATACTGCGACCATACTTGCCTTATTTTTTGAAATTGAATATTAATTATTGCAGAGTGGTGAGCACCTCGATTTACCTATTGTGCTCATCCCCACCTGCTCTTCATGGATGCAGGTTAGTGCTGCGGGAACGACAGAGGAAAGCTAGTGGTGGTCATTGATGAGTCTACTTCTAGATCTGGAGTAAACCGGTTGCTGTGAGCTCAGATCTGCTTGAACCGCTTCTCAACCGTTGCTAGATCGCGAGATTCCTGCAAAAACTCAACGCCGGAGGTGTTTCCGGAGTAGAGCCTCCGACGCTCAAGTCAGTATCAGAGTGATGAAGAGATGCTGCACAGCAGCTATGGGGGAGAGTGGGAATGAATCAGAGTTAGGGTTTTGGGGTTACCTCATCTCCTTTATATAGGAGGGAATACTTACTTGAAGTGCCCAAAATGCCAAAGTCGGTGGACCTAGAAGGTCCAAAATGCCCTGGTCGATTCGTCTCCCCTTGTTGCTGAGTCATCACAAGATTCCTTCTTATCCTTTGTAATATGTGGAACTTCAAATATGCTGCAAGTGTGATGAATCGTCACCATGTTCTCGGCCTCGAGGCGTAAGAAGTCGACCTCGAGCACTGGGAGGTCGATTCCTGATCACATGAGTATCCGGAGGCTACGCCTTATCGTTCTTTTGAGTGGAAATCGTCTTCAGAGAATCGTCTTAGCGAAGTCGGCTTCTGAGAGTCGACTTAGAGTATCTGGATGCTCGGGAGTTATCCTTTTGCGGTTCTCCTGCTATTGATATCGACTAGAGAAAGTCGACTTCCGAGGGTCGACTAGGACGATTCCTGCCTCTTCTTGATTGCTCTTTATAGAGTCGACTTTAGGGAAGTCGATTTGATCAGGTCGACGTGGTCACGTCGACACGTGAGTCGCTCAAGTGGTTCATCGGTCGAGTAGGAAGCTTCTGAACCGGGTTACCCTTATATGGCTATATCAGTCATATTATTGATTATTTCCGCTGCTTAAATTTCTTATCATGATTATGCATTCCTGACTTATGTTGAATACTGGATTATCGATAGGGAGTGTACTCCCTAGTCTTTATGGATTTGATGAACCCAGTTTTGGGAGTGGATGTCAATTAATGAACCCGATTGGGTGTTGACTATTTATGATTATTGAACCCGGTTGGGTGTCGACTATTTATGAATTTCGAACTCGTTGGGAATTGCATATGTGATATTGTTGGAATTGTTTTGAAAAATGAGTAGCGCCTCAAGTGTTTTGAAATAAATTTTGAAAAATTTATTCTGAATTTTGGCAAATAAAAGTGGGGCGTTACAATCAAGCTCTTCATCAAATTCAAGGCATCGCTCTAGTTATGACAACCAATGCTTCAACTCTTGAAAAGCACATCACAAGCTTAACGAAGGTTATTGAAGGGCTTGCGAAGAAGGTCGAAGAGCAAGACTCACATATCTCATAGCTAATGAACAAGGTTGACAATGCTGAAACAAACTGCATGACGGGCAAACAAACAGAAGACCGTGATGAGGCTAAACGTCCAAACAAGAACAATTTGACGAAAAGGAAAGACTCAAACATTCCAAACATTCGTCTGAGGGAATGATCCCCATTGATCAACTCAAGGATTTCATCATGGGGACTTAAAAGATAAGTTTGATGGTGGTTCCAAGTCATCCCACTACTACGTCAAACCATATACGCCGAAGATCGATAACTTGAGGATGCCTGTTGGATATCAGCCTCCCAAGTTCCAGCAGTTTGATAGCAAGGGCTACCCGAAGCAACATATAGCCCACTTTATTGCGACATGCAATGATGCGTGAACCCATGGAGATTGTCTCATCAAGCAATTTTGTTCCTTCACTCAAAGGGGTCGTATTCAACTAGTACACCGATTTGGAAACAAACTCCATCAATAGTTGGGAGAAAATGAAATATGAATTTCGTAGTCGCTTTTACAGCACAAGACGTACAGTCAGCATGATCGAGCTCACTATATCTTGACAATGTAAAGAGGAGCCAGTCATCGACTATATAAACAGGTGGAGGAACTTAAGTCTGAATTGCAAGGATCGTCTGTCTGAGGCTTCTGCCATTAAGATGTGCATTCAAAGTATCAATTGGGGTCTCCGTTTCATTCTTCAAGAAATTTAACCAAAACATTTGAGGAGCTAGCAACTCGAGCCCATGACATGGAACAAAGCATGGCTGCAAGCGGATCTAAAGGGTCACCGATCCAAGAACCCTAAAGTTCCAATGATAGATACGAGCGAAGAAAATAGAGCTAATGGGCCACCGATCCAATCCATGACTGCTTCATAGTCAAATACAATGTTTTGCAGCTGACATGACAATGAAAAATATCACTGAAGAAAATAGTGCAACTACTAATCATATAACTGAATCATGCAACATGACGAATGAGTACGAAACTCCACTGGAAGAAAACAATCGGTCTAAGGTTGAAAATCACCATGTTGGTAACGATTCTATGATGGTTTTTACTGATGAAGGAACCTTGTTCGTGGTTGGCTATATGCAAGAACAAATGGTTAATCGAATATTGATTGATGAGGGATCAACGGTCAAAATCTTGCCTCTCCGAACGCTTAAAGATTTAGGAATGTCTACTGAAGAACTTGGTAACAGTCTATTGATGATTCAAGGCTTTAATCAAGGTGGGGAAAGAGCTCTCGGCATCATAAGGTTGAAGTTATTGATGGAGATGTGGAATCAACCACAATGTTCCATGTTATCAACGCAAAAACTTCTTACAACATGCTTCTTGGTCGTCCATGGCTTCATGAGAATGGTGTCGTTCTATCCACATGACATCAATGCTTTACAAAAATGGCGTTGTGAAGACCGTGCTTGGTGATGATAAACCTCGACGACGCCGAGCGCGCAGCGCTCGACAAACCCCTCGCCTTCTCATCCCTACTCTCCCTGCAGAACACCATCCTCGAGTACCGCCAGAGGCTCGCCGACCAGCTGGCCGAGTCGACCTGCCAGGCCTCCACCACCGGTCCCGAGCTTCGGTCTGCGGTCCAGGCCGTGAAGCAGCTCGGGGANCCGTGGTGCAGGCCGAGACGCTGACGGGTCTGGTTGAGAGGGTGGTGATTGCGGGGCCCGCGGCGTCGGGGTGCCTGAGGGCGGTGGCGGAGTGCGTGCACGTCTGTCTTGGACACTGCGCGCTGTTGGAGTATCGTGGGCTGGCGCTATGCCCGACGCTGCTGAGGGTGTTCAGGCCGTTTATGGATCAAGCGCTGGCTGCAGGGCTCAAGAAGATCGATATGTGCACGGCTGCTGTTGCCGTGCTGGACGACTGGGTGTTGAGCTTCCCGGCGGTGGGAAGCGTTGTGGCGACGCAGCATAAGCTGTCTAGCAGTGCTCATCGGTTCACTTCGATGGTTCAGGTGTGTGAAATTGGCTTTGGAATGAATGATTGTGTGTGTAAATATGTTTTGTATACAAAAATTTTCACTCGAAGTGGATTTCTTTTTTTTTTTTTATATAACTAGAGTTAATTTGGAAAAAAGATGGTATGGTTAGTTGTTAGTGGATGAATAGTGAATGAAAGTTGATGTGACGTGTAAGAATGATTGGTTTGTATTATTTAATTATATGAATAATATTAAAGATAGTGTGGTTGAGTTAAAGTTGAACTAAATTTTGAGTATGAATTAGATGTGAGTAAAGCTTGACATGTACCAGTTAGAACTGAAAAGTATTCAAAGTTAGACATACAAAAGAATGACAATATATCATCATAACCCACAGGAGCTCTGTGAAGACATCGGCTCCCTAGACATCATGCAGCTATCCGAGCATGCCCTTGAGGGTGTCCTCCAATCGTTCGGCTCTTACGTCAGCACCATGATCAACGCATTCTCAGCCTCGTTTGAGATCGAGAATCTAGAAGGTTCTGGAAGAAAAATAGTCAAACTTGCTGAGACAGAGACCCAGCAGATTGCCCTGCTAGCAAACGCTCTATCCCTGGCAGACGAACTCTTACCACGTGCGGCCATTAAGCTCTCATCCTTCGCCAGAAATGACGAGAAGGGCTTGAAGCAGAGGGAGCTGAAGAGAAGGCTTCAGAGGCTGGTGGAGCAGCTGAGGGACAGCTTTTGCCGCCAGCATGCGCTCGACATCTCATATTCACTGAAGATGGTGGGGTTCGTTTGAATGCTGAGATGTATTTGTGCATGGATGATGGTAGAGGTGAGCCTGAATGGTTCCCATCTCCAGTTTTCCAGGTAATAATTGATCGATTTGAAGTTTGTTCTTTTATTTTTTTTTTCTTTTTCTTTCTCTGGGGAGTTCTTGAGAGAGTGAAAGATGTTAATATGATTGTGTGAAGCAAAATAAATGGTATGTTGTTAAAGTGGTTCTGGAGAAAATTGACAATACAGTGACTGATTGCTGTAATGTGAAGATATCCAGAATGATTATTTTTCAAAATGAAAAAAGAAAGGAATAGTACAACCTAGAGAATAGCTTCCTTTTAGAATTATTATTACATTCACGTAATTGAACTTTGTTGAGGACAACAAACACATCAGTTAGTTTCTGTCAAATGAACACTCCAAAATTGGACAAACACAGAAGGCCGTCCCTAAAGTTAAACTATCTGAAGAAGAAAACTTGAAAGATGTTAGAATATTTGTGTATATGTTTTATAGTTAGATTATTCATTATTGTGCATATCATATTGCTTTGATTTATCTTTCTATGGTAGGTACGTTGTATATAGTCGGTCCATATTGTATTTTGATTTTTTTTCCCCACTATAAATACTGGAAGTTTATACTACACCATACACAATAAGAATCAATAAGAAATTGTCTTCTCCTTCATCTGATTTTCTCTGTTCTCTCTAAAAGAAAAAAAAAAAAATTGTTGCTTTGATACAACTTTCTCATTATGGATTCTAAAACTAAATCTGCTTTGGGAACGACCGACAAACTCAACGGTTCTAACTATATTTTATGGTCAAAAGCTTTCAAACTCTTTCTCAGGTAAATTAAATCATATTATATCTTCTGCTCCTGATTCGAAAGATGATATGCCACTTTGATGCAAGCTGATTTTTCTGTCATGACTTTTGTCAATAGCATGGAAGAATATGTTAGCAGCAATATTATGTTTTTAAACTCTGCGAAAGAGATTTTGGATACCTTAAATGCTATGTACTCTAGCGAAAAGAACGCCTTATATGAGAATTTATTCTGTCTTTGTCAAGAGGTTGCTTTGTTGGGATTACTTTGCATCACTCAAGGGGACAAGGGGCTAAATTTTGTTATACCATCCAATGCTATGTACTCTAACGAAGAATCTGATATGCACAATAATCTTACTATAGAATATATACACAAATATTCTTAAAAAATATATAAAAACAAATAAGGAACAACTATATTTCAAAATACATTAGCCGTGTGGCCTTTGTTTTCTTTACCAGTTACACCATCCAAAAGTGGGTATCTGATAAAAAAACACAAAGCTTTCTGACACAGTTTGTGTTTGAAATAATTGGAGTTCTTTGTATTCTAACACAGTGGTTAAAACTGGACATATTCAGGAACTATTTGTAAAATTGACAAGAATAGCCAGCATTGCATCTGATATATTTGTTGGAAGGAAAGGTTTGCCACCATTCTCTTGATCAGATTAGCGGAAACCGTTATCTTATGGTTTTCCGAAGATCAAAACTTTTGGGATGAGCTCGAAACTGGGGAGAGGACGTTAGGACCTCTCGGACTTCAACAGGTTTCAATTTTCGTACCATTTTCAAATTTATTTCCATATTTATCGTTAATGTTGTTCAGAATGCATCAGAACTTCTCAGATGGATATGTGATTGTGGCAAAAAAAGATGTGAACCCTTTTTTTTTTTTTTTTT